TAATTGGTGCTGATTTACAGTTTCCGAGGTTTAGTCAGAGAAACATGGTGACACGCAGACAGACACGCAGGAGAAAGAACTGAGAGTCCTACATCTTGATCCACAGGAAGCAGAAGGAGACTGTGTGCCACACTGGGCTTAGCTTGAGCATGTAAGACCTCAAAGCCCGCCTCCACAGTGACGCTCTTCTTCCAACACAGCCATACCTACCCCAACAGAGCCACACCTCCCAATAGAGCCACTCCTTATGGGCCAAGTATTCCAACACATGAGTTTGTGGGGGCCATACCTATCCAAACCACCACAACAGCTGTGAACTGTTTTCTCTTTAACATTTGTGAAAGACTTTGGCTTTTTGTTTCTTTCTCTGCTAAGTTTCTTTAAAAAAAAAAATTAAGACAGGCTCTCACTTTATAATTTAGCTCTTATTAGCCTGTGACTCCCTGTGTAGACCAGACTGACCTTGAACTCGTAGACATCCACACGCCTCTGCCTCCCCAGTGCTGATATTGAAGGTGTTCACCGAGACATCCAGCTCATTCTTATTTTTCAGTATTATAATTTTACCACCTTCGCAGTTTTCAGGAATAAACAATTTTAACACCTGGATCCTAATGAAGACATTTCGTGAGAGGTACCTAAATCTTCCACAGATTCTAGCTGACTCCCAATGTGAGATTTTTCTTTTATTCCTAATATTCTGGACATTTCTTTCTCCAGAAACCGCATGGATTTTTGCTGTAGTCATTTTCTTGGATTCCTACAGGCCTGGATAACAAGAACTGCGTAGTGGAAGAGCATGGGGCAGGCAGAAGGGATCCTGCAGGGGGCTATAAAACACATGCTTCCGTTTTTGTGAGAAGGGAAAAAATTCAATCTTTCTTCCATAACTTCTTTAAAAATTTATTGAGGAATCAAGTTTTGTGATAGTTGCATGTACTGTTGTGGTTTATTATAAAAATGGATTTTGGGTGCTGGCAAGATGGCTCCACTGGTCAAGGGGCTTACCACCCAGTCTGACAACCTGAATCTGATTGCTTCCTAGAACCCACATGGCAGATGAGAACTGGCTCCTGTCATTGTCCTCTGACCTCTGTGCACGTGTGCACACAAAACCAAAATAAATAAATGTCAGAAAGTGGGATTTCCTGCCGGTGAGGGGAAGTATCTCTTGTTAAAAGCAGTAGGACTAAAATGAAGGCTAAATTTAGGTTAGCATTTTTATGTTCTATTCCTGGTGAACACCTGTTATTGAAGGATTTTTTTAAAAATTTTGAGATGGCTAATCTTAATTGCCTATTGAAAACAGGTACTTGTGAATAGTAAACCATTTTCTAGAACCATTTGAAGTTGGTGGAATTCTTATCTAGATTTCTAACCCTGGACTTGGGTGATCACTCTGTCTGAGCGCATCATTTCATGTTGTTCCAACCACCCTCCTCTTGGGCAGATCCCATCCTCTCTCACCTCACAGAGACGTACTGATGCTTACAGTGTTTGGAAAAATAGCTCATGAGTGGCTGCATGGAGACTCCGGAGGCAGGGGTACCGTCTCCTCAATATATCGCCGTGAAAACACGCTCACTTCTCGGTATAATACTTGGCAACGTACACCTGAAATTTTATTTCCAGGTGATAAAGCAACATGTCACAACACTGAGAGCTTATCCGTGTCATCTCTGTGGGGAGTCCGTACCAGTTGATAGGAATGCTACTTACTTAGGGCGATAATGGGTACATTTGGGTGACTGCTGCATGCCAAGCTCAGTGTTTTATATACGTACTCCTGCTCAAGCCTAAGATGCGAGCAGTGCATCCCTGTCTCTCACACAGTGACGAGGCTTAGTGCAGGTGTGTTCCCGTGTAACACAGGACACTATAGCAGAGGACAGCGATGCACGGGCTTAGGTTCGCACACTCACAGGCTTACACTCGTAAATACTCCCTCATCGATTTAGAGAATCCCCAGTAGTTTACTAGAGAGGTCAAGGGATGTTAGCCAGTGGTTTAAGCCTTTTGGTAAGAAGCACACAAAGGTGTTTAGGTGTTGAGATGGAGTTTCAATCTAATGCCCAGGCCAGTTTCAAACTCACTATGGAGGCTAGATTGGCCTCAACGTCAGTGAAATCCTGTTACCTTATTTTCCCCGAGTGCTAGGATTACAGGCAGGAACCTCCATACCTAGTGTTTATGCTTTCTCTCTTCCCTCTCCCTCCCTCCCCTCACCCTCAGAGTCTTTTAAAGAAAAACTATATTAAAATTTTATTTATCTATTTGTGTATGTGTGTGTGTGTGTTTACTATATATGTGACAGTGCCCCCAGGAGCCAGAATAGGGCGCCAGCTCTCCTGGAGCTAGCATTATAGGGCATTGTGAGCAGACTAGAATGCTGGTCCTTTGCAAGAGCAGCAAACGCTTAATCATTGAGCCATCTCTCCAACCCTCATATCTGACTCTCTCTCTCTCTCTCAATCTTTCTCTCTCAATCTCTCTCTCTCTCTCTCTCTCTCTCTCTCTCTCTCTCTCTCTCTCCCTCTCTCTCTCTCTCTCTCTCTCTCCCTCTCTCTTTCAGTTTTTCTCTGTGTAGCCCTGGCTGTCCTGGAACTTGCTTTGCAGAACAGACTGGCCTTGAATTCATGGAGATCCACCTGCCTCTGCCTCTCAAGTGCTGGGATAAAAGGAGTGTGTCCCCATGGCCAGCGATCCATATCTGACTCAGATGTAATCTCTCCTTAGTCTGGACCTGATCACTCAAACATGTCACACACAGGCGACTTTGTAGTTGGGAAAATGCAGGTGACTTTTGTGATGGATGATCTATTTCTAGGGAAAGGAGTCTCTCTGACTGGGAGGTTTTGCTTTTCAGCAGCGGAAGGAAGACGGCTGTAGCTCTAAGTGCCCTCCCATCTGTCAGCCACTGTAGCCTCTGTCTGTCACCATGTGACCAGAACCCAGTGCTTGGCAGTTTACAGAATATTGGGGGAGGAAATGGGTTGTTTATAGTTTTGACTAGAACTGGTAATGAAGGAGGGAATGGGAGAAAGGGAGGGAGGGAGAAAGAGAGACAGAGTAACAGAGAGAGACAGGATAGAGACAGACGGACAGATCTCACCTTTACCTGGCTTCTAACAGTGTTAGAGATTATAAAGAAAATGCTAACATGAGTCGCACAGTCTGTGGATTCTGTTGTGAGATAAATTGTCAGAGTGTGGGCTGCTAAGACAATTTTGAGGTGACAGCTCCTCCTTCACAGAATCCTTCCCTGGCGTAGAAGTTCCAGCCTCAGCCTCGGACTCCTAGAGAAGTTTTAGTTCTTAGGTTCTCTTGAGGGCCAGGCCACGTTGTTTCCTTGTTATCCAGTACCTGGTTCAGTGTTGAATTCTAGGAGGCATTTGGATGTTTGACTGTATATATGTATATATATATGATTATCTTTGGGAACCCTTGGGAGATCCTTGGACCAGTTTTGATAGATTTCAGGTCCCTAGAACACCAAGCTGTCATAGCTAGCTTAAAGCAACTCTTCAGAAATGAACGTTTGTGAGGTAGAAAACGATGGTGTATGGATTCAGGTCACATGTCAAAGAGGGAGAGACAAGTGCGTTCTTTCTCACCAGATCCTAGGAACACAATGATGGTTTAAATGAAGCTTGTATGTAATCGTTCAGACAAGAATTACAATCTTGACTATGCACTAGTCACGTGACTGCAATTATTTAATTCCTCTGAACTTTTACAAACTCATCTGCAGATCTGTTGGGGACTGTGCTGAGGGGCTGGTAACTGTGTGTGGGGGGGAGTTCCTGCAATGGCGCCCACACATAGATGCTCAGAGTTATTCCTACATATACCTTGCCTCGTCCTTGGGTCTGAACCAGAGTATTCAATGGAGGGGGCGGAGAGAGGGGAACAGGATGGACAAGAGAGAGGAGAGAGACACTGAAAAAGAGAGAGAGAGAGAGAGAGAGAGAGAGAGAGAGAGAGAGAGAGAGAAGAGACAGAGTGCATAAGGGAGGAAAGGAAGGAGTAAGGGTGGGAGGAGACCCTGAAGTGGCTTGGGAGGGGGAAAAGACTAGAAACTTGGAGTGAGGCAAGTTGATTGATGGCTGACAGTGAAACAGCTCTTTTCAAGTCTTCACCAATGAGTTTCATGGAAAATTCTGCCTGAATATTAATGAGACATTATTTTAGTATACTCTAAATTAGAGAATATAGTTTTTATTTTGGGTCTTATTGAAACAATTTGGGTAACGAGTTCTAGGATTTTAGTTTGTTCATAGGACTTAGACTTTCTTAGTCTGTTATCCAGGAAGTGGAAGCATTTCCTCTCTCTCTGTCTTCCCCTCTCCCTTCTGTCTTTCTGTTTGTCTCTGTTTGTTGTCTGTTCTGTCTCTGTATGCATGGTGTATGTGTGTGCACATTAGGGCATGGGAATGTGATCCTTCTCTCCCTCTCCCCATCCGTCTGTCTCTCTGTCTGTCTGTCTGCTGTCTCTCTGTATGTGTGGTATATGTGTGTGCACATCTGGACGTGGGAATGCGAGTGCATACTCGCCATGACATGCCTGTGAAGACCAGAGGACAAAGTTGAGTGTCAGTTCTCACCTTCCAACTGGGTCTGTTGTTTTCCACTGTGTACACTGCACATGAGTATACCTGGCCCATGAGCTTTTGGATACTATTCCGTCTCCCCCTCCATGTCCCTATAGGAGTGCTGGCACACATGTGACTTTTCTTTGGATCTGAGGATTTAACTCAGGTCCTAATACTTGTAAGGAAAGCACTTTCATTCACTAAGCCATCTCCCAGCCCCCAAGCCGTGCCTTCTGGACATCCTGCCAAATCCCTTGCACATTCTTACCAGCCAAGACCCAGAACCACATGCCTCCATTTCTTTCCTGCTCAGATATTTCACCCTCCTGCTGTTTCATTTTTTCTTTTTTAAGCTGGTACTGTTTGGACTAAGCAACCAGATGGTAGTAGCATTCAAGGAAGAGAACACTATAGCCTTCAAACACCTCTTCCTGAAAGGATACATGGATCGAATGGAAGACACATACGCCGTGTACACTCAAAGTGACGTGTATGACCAGGTCATCTTCGCAGTGAACCAGGTAAATGGATGGTGTACATTTGCTGTTGGTTTTATTTGTTTTAGGTGTTGGACACAGGGCCCCGCATAAGCTAGGCAAGCAGTCTAACAACAAGACACCCAGACAGTGTGTGCACTCTTTATTTGGGAGAAAGAACAGACTGGAAAAATGCTAGCAACAGATTTTATAGAAACTCACACCCAAGTGCTGAACAGTTCTGCTTAGAGATGATTTATGAACAAGTAATTGAAATATAACTTAAGGGTTGGAGAGATGGCTCAGCGGTTATGAGCACTTGTTGCTCTTCCAGTGGACACGAATTTGCTTCCTAGCGCCCACACTAGGCAGCTCACAACTGCCTGTAACTCTAGATTTAGGGAATTCATTGTCTTTCTTGTCTCTGTAGATACCACCTACTCCCACATAGAGTATGTGCGCGCGCGTGCACACACACACACACACACACACACATTTAAATGCATATTTAAAAATTGATCAAAAATATTGCTGACAAACAATTATACAAGTAACTATTGATAAAAGCTTTCATTTCCAGCCAGCAGAAAGGTTGCATTTCAGCGACTTAATAAAAAGAATCAGGACTACAACTGAACTCGGGAGCTTTAATATTTGACATTACTAACACAACCCTGGCTATAAGTAACCATTAAGTCTTCAAAGCTTATACTTTTAGAGGCCTAGACCAGATAATGAGGATTTTAATTTTGAAGTTCACGTAACAACCGAGGCCTTCAAGCTTGTGTAAAGTCAGACTGTTGTGTCACGCCTGGTGCTGACCCCATGATGCTGGCTATCTGCCCGACAAGAAGGAAACTTGTTTCTCATACTCCAGGGTCAAGTTTTCATTCTGGGCTGTTCTTGCTATAATTAGTACCTTCTCAAAGTTCAGAATCACTTCTTGTGAAGGGAAAATTAAAAATGCTTTTGAGACCAGTATATTTTTTGTTTGTTTGTTTTTTTGAGACAGGGTTTCTTTGTACAGCAGCCCTAGCTGTCCTGGAACTTGCTTTGTAGACCTGGCCGGCCTTGAGATCTGCCTGCCTGCTGGGATGAAAGACACACGCCACCACAGTATTTTTAACCTAAGGTCACATTTCAAAATCATTAAATCCCTTCTTCAAACATTGTTTCTGAGCAATCGTGACTCTTCATTTCTGGAGGCAGCCTGTCCAAACAGTGGTCATGAGCTGCTGGGATGAAAAACGTCTTTCTGGAGCCCGGGCTCTTAGTGAGCAGGGGGAACAGGAAACTTAGGGACAAAGGCTGCATAAAGTTGTTAAAGAGAATCATGGCCTACAATTTTTAGAAGGAAAATAGCAAATAACTTAGTGATGAAGGTAAGTTTAGAGAATCAAAATAAAGTGTGTGTGTGTGTGCACACACACGCGCACATGGTATTTGCATGAAGGTCAGAGGACAGCCTTGGTTGTCAGTCCTCAGCTCCTACTTTGTTTGAAATTAGAGTCCTCTGTTCATCACTGCACATACTAAACTAGCTGCTTGCAAGCTTCTTGGGGAATTTTCTTGTCTCTGTCTCTCACCTCACTGTAGGAAAATTGGGATCACAGATGCAAGCTACTGGACCTAGTGTCCCCTGGGTTTTGGGGATTTGAACTCAGGTCCTCGTGATTTGGTGGTAAGTGCTTTACATGCTGAGCCATCTCTCAACACTGGATTTAACGTTTAAATGTATTAAGTATCTGTAAGCACTGTATCAAGTTTCTATGTTTCTTCGGTGTTATATAGAGATAAGAAGTCAACAGTCCATTGCATTTTGTTGTTTTGAGGCAGGGCCTTATGCAACCCAAGGTGACTTTAAACTCCTTGTAGCAGAGTCTGGCATTGATCTCTTGATCCTCCTGCCTCCACCTCTGAAAAGCAGTCTCTATGCCTGACTAAAGGCCAGGTAAATTCTTTATAAACCATCTTTACCTTCATCACTAGGACTAAGTTAGGTCTCCATGTTCTTTTCACGAAGAGCCTTTATCTTCACTGCCACATTCTTTCTGCTGCTGGAGGAAACCATCTGTCAGGATAGTGAGCGACAGCCGTTTCCCTCTCACCATTTTGGAGGCGTGGAAGGTCAATATCAAGAAGTCTACACACTCAGCTCTTTCTGGAAGGGAGAGAGGGGGCCAAACGGCCCACATAGTCCCACTGGCCCTGTTATGTTGGAACTGTTTGATCTAACAGCCCAAATACACCACGTTAAGTCCTGCTTCGGGCTGCTTTTTCTTATTCCCCACTCAGTGGTCCCAGCACCTCTGCATTACTTTCTAAAGAATCCACAGAAACCACTGCCCTTGCTGTATAGACCTGCTCCTGCAGCAGAGAGACACATGTTCTGTTTATTTCCATATGTAGCAAAACCACCATCAGTGCTCAACAGCATAGCACTTGATGAACTTACTCCATAAAGACAGAAGTACCAGAGAGACACAAAAATGTTGGTTGATAGGTTCAAAATTTTTTTTTTCGTACGTGTTCCAGAGACAGGGAAGGCCTACAAATGAGCAATGAACAATGGCTTTGCTTCTGATATGCAGTGCTTGGCGAAGAATCTTTAACTTCATTTTTACTTTCCCAGTCAAAGAATGACCTGGGATGCTGCATCTCAGTGAGAAAGAAGATTCTGGGATGGGAATGTAGGGAGAGCCTGTGGTCAGAAGGCAATGTTGACCTGGAGAGTTCCTGAGTAGATGAAACAAAGCACTTGAGTGTTCAAGGCCTCCGACGGGCTTTCCGTGGACGTGGCTGTCCCTTCAGGTCTTCACTGCTACTCCTTAGAGCCACTCACTCAGATACAGCATCCCAGTGTGTGTTTCCTGAATGTCTGTACCCTGAAGGGAGATGGGCACCTACCCTCCCAAGACATGGCCAGGAGGGGTTATAGTGGCTCTCCTTTTCCCTGACTGGTGCCCCTTTTGTCCTGGGTGTTGTTCCATTCCCATCTCTCTCTTTTGGATGAAGTACTTGCAGCTTCGCAACATCTCTGTTGGCAACCATGCTTACGAGAACAAGGGGACAAAGCAGTCGGCTATGGCAATCTGTCAGCACTTCTACAAGCGAGGGACCATCTGCCCCGGGAATGATACCTTTGACATTGACCCAGAAATTGAAACAGGTGATGATCTCCTATAACCTTGAACTATGTTTTTAACTCCCTGATTTACACCTAAGCCCCGTGATGACTACATCTCTGAACACAATGACAGTCGGTGCTCTTATTTATGGCTTAGGAAGAACTGTACAACTCTTATGTGCCAGCGTCTGTTGTGAACATTTGTTATATAACTGATGAATTCTAAAGAAAAACAAACAGATAAGGCATAGAGGAAATAGAGACAGGGAGAATGATGACATTCTGAGGCAGAGTTTGCGTCTGTCTAAATCTTCGATCGCTCCAGAAATGTCTTAAAAACAGGAATGTCCGGACAAGCGGCATTGATACCAAGCTCCCACAGGGTTGATCTACACAGCAATAGCATGAATAGCTGATCTTAGCCATCTTCCTTTGAAAATGCAGTTTTGTTTATGGTTTTGTTCCTTTCTGTGGCAGAATGCTTCCTGATAGAGCCAGATGAACCCCTTGACATCGGAACACCTGGAGAAAATAGACTCAATCTGACCCTGGACTTCCACAGGTGAGGAGAGCCAAAGGGCGCATAGCTCAGCCTGTGTTCTCGACTGTCCGCTGGAGGAGCACTCGGATGGGCCTGTGTGTGTCCCCTCATCTCATGCCTTCTGGAAGGGCACACAGCTCGGCCGTGTCTGTCCCCCTCATGTTAGGTATCCTCTACTTTCCAGACTCCTGACGGTGGAGCTTCAGTTCAAGTTGAAAGCCATTAATCTGCAAACGGTTCGTCATCAGGAGCTTCCTGACTGCTATGACTTTACTCTGACTGTAAGTGTGGGCTGTGTTGAACACGGCTCCCGTCTAGAGAAGATCCATTTTATCTAGGTGTATGGTTCATGTTCATATATATAGGTATATGGTTCATGTTCATATATATTCATAGATATAGGATGCTCTCCCTGAACATCCTGGGGCATCGCTCCAGCTGGCTCTAGTCTGCATATTGCTAACTTGCTGTTTGTCTTCTGCACTTCAATGTGTGTTCTGTAAGACAGGGATTTACCTTGTCTCCTACTGTCTCCACTGTGGGGCCTGATATCGATGCTTAAGATTCATTGAAATCATATTTAACCTTTGCCTGCATGTGCTAAGTTGGATTTACAACAGAAAAAAAATGGTTCATCTGCATTCAGAAGTCTCACATGATGTTTTCTGAGGTTCTTTATTAGGCGTATGAACCTCTGAAGTCCTTGTTGGGTGTGTTTGTGTGTGTGGTGTGTATATGTGTTCACATGTGTGTGGCCCATGATGTATGTGTGTGTATGTTTGTAGCGTATGGGCACCTGTATATGTGTGTTCACACACGTGTGTGGGCACATGCATATGTGGGTGGATATGTGTGTGTGTGTGTGTGTACATGTGTGTAAATGCCCACAGTTAGCATTAAGAGCCTACCTTGATTGCTGACCCCTTTATTGATTGAGGCAGGTCAATAGGTTTCCTCACTAAATCCAGAATTCACCAGTTCTGGCTAGTCTGGCTAACCCACTTGTCTAGGAGATCCCTTGTCTTAGTTTCTCAAGTGTCAGAGGCAGCTGCCTTGTCAGTTTCGCTTTCGTATAAGTTCTGGGGCTCTGAATACTTGAGTAGCATGCTTGAGTAGCCAGCACTTCCATCTTCAAATGCTACAACCTTTGCTTCTGCCATACTCTTTAAATCCTAATCAGCATCCTGTCTCCTTGGTGACACTCAGCATCTGCTGAGACTTTACTGAGACATCTCCTGAGTCCCCAGTAGTCCTTGAGGCTCCTTGTGTGGAGAACAAATACTTTCTCATTGGCAAGGACTTTCGACCCCATCAATGACACTGACATCTCCTTGTGTGAGCTGTAGGCTGCGTTCTTCAGTCACTGTGGGGAACACAGCCAGTGGCAGTGGCGTCAGTTGGTAGGGGAAGAAGCTGACTCACCATCTTGCGGGAGCATGGTGACTTAAAAAAATCTCATATGAAGTTGCTTAAAATCTCATATCTTAGCCATGTATGTTCTGGTTCTGCTGCGAGCAACTTCAGAGATGTATGAGCAATTCTCTCCAAACTGTTGTAAACAGGACTTAGTTTTTGCTGCAGTAGAAATAGAAGGGTTTGCAAATAAGTCATTGTGCAATGTTTGGTCACTTGGGCTATGTCTGCCTTCCCTATGTGGAGAAGCTTCAAAACATTTAATTTAAATGGCAGATGTAGTGAGGAGCAGCGGGCAGGCCTGCATTTCGTCCTGCCTGGCTCCCGCACGGCTAGCTTAGCCCCAGAAATAACAACACACAAATTGTATTCATTTAAACACTGCCTGGCCCATTATCTCTAGAGAGTTAGTTACTGGCTAACTCTCACATCTTGATTAACCCATTTCTAATAATCTGTATAGCACCACGACGTGTGGCTTACCGGTAAGGATTCAGCATGTCTGACCTGGTGGCTGGCTCCATGGCGTCTGCCTCATTTCCCTTCTTCCCAGCATTCTGTTCTGTTTACTCCACCTACCTAATTTTCTGTCCTATCAGAGGGCCAGGGCAGTCTCTTTATTAACCAATGAAAATAACACATAGACAGAAAGCCCATCTACATCAGGCAGACCTTTCTGAGAATTTTCACGGTTTTTTGAGAATTTCACAGGCGAATACAATGTATTTCTATCTTGTTCACCAGCACCGTCCCCTTCTTCCAGACCCTGCTCTACCCTCATCCTTAGTCCAGGTAGTGCCGCCTGGGTATGAACGGATGTGAGGCCATTCCCCAGGGCACGGACGACTTACCAGGAGCTACACACCCAAGCAGAAATGAATCTTCCTCTTCCAGTAGCCGCCAGCTGCCAAGCGCTCCTCAGCTGGGGGTGGAGTCTCGGGCGTCCTTCCTCCGTCTCTGCTGTAAAGTTTAGCGTCTTGGTCTTGTGTAACCACAGCTGCTGTGTGCTCACGAGTGCAATGGCCTCATAGGTCCAGAAGACAGTTTCACAGCAGTACCCCCATCTTCTCACTCTTAGTCTTTCCATCCCCTCCTCTGTGTTGCTCCCCAAGCATGGGGGTGGAGTGAGGTGAGAGAGATGCTCATTTAAGGCCGATCAATAAATGAAGGACTTTTGACTACACTTTCCCCCTCCTTTGTGGGAAAGGGAAGAAGATGTAGGTGGATTTTCCCGCTTTCCTTCTTTTTCTCGGCTTGGAGGAAGCAAGGGCATGAGAAGGAGACACCGGAGGAAGACAGAAGGCGTTGCACTGTAGCTTTGTGCTGTCTGTATCCAGCGTTTTCACCTGATTGTCTCAGAAGCAAGGCAGGCTAGCAACTCTGTCACTGAGCCCTTGATAATACATGTGATACCATGGTGATGGAGAAATCTAGACCCAGAATGAAAACTAAAAACTCTCTATCTTGGGTGTCTAAAGACAGAAATGACAGACATGATTTCCCCAAACACCAAAAAGCCATCCATTGCTAAAATTCTGCCAGAAGGTGGGGCAGAACTAACCTGTATGAACTCCTGCCAACCCAAGTTTCTAGAACAGGAAGGAGGGGAAGGCACTCTTGTTTGCTAAGGTATCCAGGGATGGAATGCATCCTAAAAAAATGGGGTGTTAGACACTAAAATCTCTCTGTAGCAGATCTAATTTGATATTACCAACTCACAGAGACATAAAGGAGTACTCTTCAGGAATTAACAGTTACCATCTGATCAGAGATGCGGATCAGCATTTCCCGTATCCTTCAATGAACTGCTTCCTTGAATTCTGAATGAATTCAGAGAGTCATCTTGATTCCAAAACTTAGTTATGCATGCTGGACCTTTTTTCTTTTCTTTACAGATAACATTTGACAACAAGGCTCACAGTGGAAGAATCAAAATAAGTCTAGATAATGACATTTCCATCAGAGAATGCAAAGACTGGCATGTATCCGGATCAAGTAAGTAATGAGCTCTGCTCATTTGCAGGATGGCAGTTAAATAATTAAGTATTAAATTATTGTCTGCAGGACATAAGGACCACTAAGTAAAAGACTGAGCTAGTCCCAAGTCTCGATAGTCTGTAAGCAGATGGGTTTGCTGTAGATGTCTGGTGTTTCAGACAGTACACAGCATTGAACGGCTCTTTACCTTCCACAAGTCCTTGCCTGCCTGCTCCTTATATAGCTACACGTTCAGTTCTGCACTAACAGCCACATATGCCTGTGTCCTCACGCTAATATTTTTAAATAGCTCAATGAGCAGCAGAATCCTTACGATCACAGATGAAGAAACCCAGGCTCAGCAGCAATGTGTAGTGACCCATGGTCTTACAGTGGAGGAGAAGTCAGGTGGGATTTGGCCTTGAAGATATGACACACTGTAGCTGTCTTCCATCTGGCGTAAATAGTGAAGCAATGTGGAAAAAGTCTGTTCTAGAAACGTGAACAAAAGTTCAGGTCAGAATGAGTCCTGTCAGGAGCTGGAAAATTCTGCCAGGAAAGGATCTCAGAGTCATTTTCTAGGTCCCCTCACGCAGCGCAGATGGGAGGCCACACGACACTGACAGATCACATGAGTCTTCAGGGGTCTACCGAGAAGAGGAAGTATCTTGGCCACCTGCTAAGACACATGTTCCTCTGCTCTACACAAGGCAGCCGGTAGACCTGAGCTGGGTCTACAATGTGTAAGGATTGTTTGTCAGCCCAGCAAGAGGGTACTCCCTACTGTGGGGTCTGTGTCTGATGGGTTAGCCAAGTCCTGAGGTGACCGTGGTGAGTGTGGGGGATGTAGCAGTCCTGAGACAGCTTCCCGTGCACGAGACTGTCAGTTAACAAGCTTCATTGTGACCACAGACTTGTCTACGTGACCAGGCCATGAGGGCAAGCCTGGGTTACCATCTGTGAGCCACATTCCACACAGAAAAAATGGGGGCATACAAAGTCCGCGGCACAGAGCTTGCCTCTCAAATGTTTGTTTCTCGGTTTTAGGGTCTTTCTAAGGCAGAGTTAGACATTTGGGCAGTCATTAGAGGCCGTGTGGAAACATCAGTAGTTAGCTTTATTCCAGCACTTTCTGAAAGGACCTCACCGTCGTGTTAGCTCCCACCAGCCTGACTGGTGGAGATAAACTCGGTGAGCCCAGCAACTGCTGCCTCTACCCTCCTTTCAACGGCACCGTCATGTGGGCCATGGCTTTGGACTTTTGATTCTCCAGGATTTTAATATGATGGAACAAGCTTATCCTCCCTCTTTCCTCCTTCCTCTCCTCTTCCTTCCTCCCCTCCATTTTTCTTTCTTCTTCCCTTTCTTTCATCTTTCTTTTCTTCTTCTTCTTCTTTTTCCCCCTCATCCTCTTCCATTGTTTAAACAGGGTCTCTCTACCTAGCCCAGGCTGCCCTCAGACTCACAATCTTTCTTCCTTGGTCTCTATGTCCTGGAACTTTAGGCTAGCACCACCAAGCCTGGCAAAGCTGGTCATTTCTAGTTACCCAAGGCTCAGTTAAAGCCTTGATGTGACCTCTTTCCTGGCTGCCTTCTCCAGCATGGAGGGATGGTTCTGAAACATTAGCCTTTTCTAGAAGGCTTAGTGACCCAGCACTTCCGGAACAGTATTTTATTATTATTATTATTATTAAAGAAAACAGACTGTCTCTTTTTTGTCATATATACCCAAGCCAAGTTCCCACTCCTTCCCCTCTTCCCATTTTCTCCAATACTCCCCCTATCCCACCCCCATCCACTCCTCAGAGAGGGTAAGGCACATTGCTTTGGGGAAGGTCGAAGGCCCTCGCTACTATATCTAGGCTGAGCAAGGTAGCCATCCAAAGAGAATAGGTTTCCTAAAAGTCAGTACATGTAGTGGGGAAAAATCCTGGTGCCACTGCCAGTGGCTCCGCAGTCTACCCCAGCCGTGCAACTGTCAACCACATTCAGTGGGATTAGTTTCGTCTTATGCTTATTCCTTCCCAGTCCAGGTGGAGCTGGCGAGCTTCCATTAGCTCAGGTAAACTGTTTCAGTGGGTGTCCCCATCATGGTCTTGTCCTGTTTACTCATATTCTCACTCCTCTCACTCTTTAACTGAAGTTTGGGAGCTCAGTACAGTGCTCTGATGAGGGTCTCTGCCTCTGCTTCCATCAGGTGTTGAATGAAGGTTCTGTGGTGATATTTAAGATATTCATCAGTCTGACTATAGGGTAAGGCCAGTTCAGGCCCCATCTCCTCTATTGCATAGGGTCTTAGCTGGGGTCATCCTTGTGGATTCCTGAGAATTTCTCTAGAGCCAGAGTCAGTAGTTTTATGGCAAGAGCTGAGGACGTCCCCTAGTGATCCTAAAACAAGACAGAAGGACCCTGCTGCAGAGTGGGAGGTGCTGGAAGCAGGCGGCGAAGGACTGAGTGCCAACTGGGCCACTTCCTGTGTCACCTAGGCAAATTATGCGACCCCTTTGTGTTTTGGCTTCTCACTGCAATGTGGGGGAAGTCCCGACAGCCTCACTGGGCCTGTTGTGAGGATCTGTGCGCACAAAGCACTCAGAACCGAGTCAGGAGGTAGTGGCTGGGCGGAATCTGTAGTTGTGACTTAAATTCTCTGGTCTCACTCCATCTGCATGTTTGCCCACGCACCTGATTGTTCCTGTGTTTGTCTTGCCATCGTAGATGTGATAGGTCAGGGGCCTCGTCTGTCTTGTTCACCACTGACTTCTAGTACCTAGAAAAGTTCTAGGTACATAGGGGTGCTTGATGAATATTTTATACCCGGGTAAGTATGTTAGCAAGCAATGTAGAAAGGCTTATTGATTGATTGATTTTCTTTGAAAGGATTTCACTATATGTAGCCCAGGTTGACCTCAAATTTAGTATATAATCCAAGGTAGCCTAGACCTTCTGGTTATGGTTCTGCTTCTTGCTCCCAAGTGCTGGGATTAGAGGCATCACCACCACACCCAGCCAGGTGCACTAATTCAGTATAAGGACCACAAACTGATAATTAAAGACCTTTGATTGGGAGTGTTTCTTTCTTTTTTTTTTTAAGGAAGGACCCTCAGCTTTTTAAAAACACTAATGGGAAGATTATTCTCAAGTTCTTTTTTTGGTTGTCATTCTGAAATGCTTGAATTATCTAAATCATTGTAAAAAGAAGCCAACAGCATCATATTAATGCCTCATCCCTGCACCCCCACGACCTCTGTCTTCCAGTTCAGAAGAACACCCACTATATGATGATCTTTGATGCCTTTGTCATTCTGACCTGCTTGTCCTCGCTGGTCCTCTGCGCAAGGTCTGTGATTAGGGGTCTTCAGCTTCAGCAGGTAGGGTGCTGCTCCCTGAGACGCTGCCGACACGCTGGGCCACAGGGACGCTCACACTCTTTCTCATCTTCCCTAAAGGAATTTGTCAGTTTCTTTCTTCTCCACTATAAGAAGGAAGTTTCTGCCTCTGATCAAATGGAGTTCATCAACGGTTGGTACATTATGATTATTATTAGTGATATACTGACCATCGTTGGATCCATTCTGAAAATGGAAATCCAAGCCAAGGTAAAAACTGTTCTTCCCAATTGTGCTGCCGCAATGGTAAAATGTACTTTTCCAAGCTATGAAGAGACTCAAAGCCAATGCTTTCTTCGGAGATTCATATTCAGTTAAATCAAAACTGACAATAGCAGTTTTCTAAACATTATTTAAAATTATATTTTTATTTTATGGGCATTGGTGTTTTACCTGCATGTCTGTCTGAGGGTGTCAGACCCCCTGGAACAGGAGGTGCAGATATTTTTGAGTTGTCTTGGTGGTACTGGGATTTGAACCTGGGTCCTCTGGAAGAACTGCCATGGCTCTTAACCACCGAGTCATCTCTCTAACCCCATCTCTAGACGTCTCCTAATGAGAGTTTTAAAAAGCATAATACATAAACCAAGAGGTCAGAATCATGAGTGGCCAAAAAAATGCTCTGTGCTAGACCAAGAGAGTTCAAACCCTCTGGGCCACAAACACCAAACGCCATGTCTACTCTGAAGACATTATGCTAAGAGTTAAAAGGAAATGTTGAAGCCAGGTGTGGGGCCTGGGGCAAGTGAGGTCAACACATGACCCCGTGTGTTTTTACATGATTTCCTCTCACAAAGATGCTTGTGTTCTTACTTTTTCCATTGTTATTATTCTCTTGAAATAAGGTTAATCTGGTCTAAGATTAATCTTTCTCCCCAAACAACAGCAACAACAAAACTTAAAAACGTTCAAATGAATCTCACTCAACTCTATACTTTCTTAGACTTGCTGTAACTAACCGCACAACACCTAGGCAGCTGGATGTAAACCTAGGTAGAGACTCAACACACAGGCTGGATCAAAGGGCAGTTTGCTCTCTTTTCCGAAAGGGTCAGGGTGGGGCTCTATCGTGGTCAATCCCTCGGTTCCGTGCAGTCATTCAGGGACCTGAACTCTCCTCGTTAGTTCCTCCGCAGAAGGTAAGAGCTCGTCCTGACTTCATGACTGACACAGGGTTGCCCCATGAACGGCTACAGTCTGCGGGAAGTGAAAACAGCAGCTGGTGGCCACTCTCCGGTGTCACATGTCATGTGGCCTAAGCGCAGGAGTAGCAGATTTCGCTCCTGTTCACATCCACTAGAGTAGACAAACCCACCTGCAAAGGGAGCTCGGGAATAAGTAGACCTAAGTTCGAGAATGACGTTGCTCACCATAGGCCAACTGTGGCCATATAAGGCTGTCGTTTGAGTAGTTTAACTTTAGGGAACAACGACAACGAAAAGATGGTGGATTTGTAGTCATTATTTATTTATTTACTTACTTTTGAGATAGGATCTCACACAGCTCAGGTTATCTTCAAACTCATTGCGTAGCTGAGACTGGGCTTGAACTCTGATCTCCATGCCTCCACCTCTCAAATTCTGGGATTTACAGGCACATACCATACAAGGCACAATTCTTTATTTTTACCAACCTCAACTATCATTTCCTTCAGTGAACTAATAGTGTCCAACATTTTCTTCATTTTCTGGACTATCTTTTTCTATTCTGAAACTTCTAGCACATCCTCCCGGCACCGGCACTTCCTGTTTCATAACAGAAAGAGACACCCCTTCCACAGCCCCCCTCACTGTCTCCAGTGTCTGTATATTCTCAGCTTGTGAGTGATTCAGGCTGCTGTCCAAGGCTAACCCCCTTACTTGCCTCTCAGGGCCTAGCCCCAGGTTCTTAGTGGAGGACATATATAACTTCAGCTCCGTGTTCTCCTCTCCAGCAATTCTTTCTCTCCTGGAACTTTCCCGTACTGTTCTTGCTTCTTGTGTAAATTAAAATCTCAGTTTCTCTACCTACCTATTTCCCCATATCTCTGCTCCACTTTATAGAATGAAAGATCTCAAAAATGGTGATTTACCCTCATGATGGTTCTGATTCCCCCAGCCTCTGTTCTTCTACAGTGTTTCCCTACCCAGCTGCCTCACTTCCCATGGGAATTCCTTTCTGCAGATGTCCCGTGGTTCCCCTCAGTAGCTTCTCACTGCTGACCTGGTTTGTGTTGATGTGCCTTTTAGCTGAACTGACACTTACCCAGGCTTCCTCCAGATCCCTGGCTGACTTTCAGAGCTTCCCTGGGTGGTTCCCTCTCACTCGCCAATATGAAAATGTTTTGAGATATCCTGCTTGGAGAGCTTCTTTTCTGCCACTGCCTTGGTGTTATCGCCCTGACCCAGAGAGATATTTTTCTATTTATTTGCCAGTGTTTGTTAAATCTGCATCTCCTCCTTGATTGTCTCTGTGTTGCCCAAGTGTTAACCACATATCTTCTGACTATCCACATATCTTCTCAGGTTTAACAGACCCACCTCAGAATGCTCTCAGTCTTCCTCAGTTCAAATCCATTTCTCCCATTGACTTTCCAGTGTCCGTTAATGGCAACTCTCTGTGAGTTCACACCCCAAACAGTACATTTCCTCTCTTTTATGAATCTCCTCTCTCCTGTACCGTATCCCACAGAGATCCTATGTGCTCTACCTTTGAAAATGACCCTGTTACCTTTACATTTCCACCCTGGACCAAGAGTACATCGGCTCTCATTCACTGGCTCTTTGTCCCAGAATCCTCTCATCCCTCCAGCTGTCTGCTGTCTGTCACAGCCAGCACATGGTCATGTCGCTCCTGTGCACGGCTCTCAAATCTCCCTGACCTTTTCTGACAAAACCCATGAGGCCTTATACTACCCGTGCCTTACCTCCATCTGTTGCTCACTTCTTGCTGGGTCCCTTGTATTTGCTGCTCTGTGTGCCAAAGGCTCTTCTAGTTTTCTGCTTGATTTTCTTCCCCGTTTCTTTCAGAACTTTGCTTCCACATCACTTATTCACTGAGATCTGTCCTGCTCATCCTATTTCAAATCACCAACTCATCCGTGTTCCTCTTCTCCCTCTCTGGCTGGCCTTCTTCCTCAGCATTTACTGTTAGTGAGTTTACCGAAGGCTGTATTCACCTGTCGCTGGTTTATGCTCCACATGTTGCACTAAAGTGTAAACTTCATGAGGGTAAAAAACTATTTGTCAATTGCTTTATCTTTCATACCTAGAGCAGCTCCTGTTGCATAGCTACTTGATATGTCTGACCCAACTGTCACATTGCTATCTAACCAATCTTGTCCATCTATCTAGAGTCTCACAAGCTATGATGTCTGTAGCATCTTTCTTGGGACTTCGACCATGCTAGTGTGGCTTGGTGTCATCCGATACCTGGGTTTCTTTGCAAAGTACAATGTAAGCAGTCCTTCAGAACCCACTAGAATTATTCTATTGCCCTGACTAAAGAGCAGAGAGATTCTAATGCCCCCCCTTACTTCCACAGCTCCTTATCCTGACCCTGCAGGCAGCCCTGCCCAACGTCATCAGATTCTGTTGCTGTGCTGCTATGATCTACCTAGGCTATTGCTTTTGTGGATGGATTGTACTGGGCCCTTACCATGACAAGGTACTGATAGACAACTTCGTCCTGACAGTATTAAGTGTCCCCAATGGCTCTTATTTTTATGATTACTACTTTTTACTCATTTGTATTTTTGTTTGTGTTCAAGTTGGCCTTGAACTCACATATGTAGCCAAGATGACCTTGACCTCTTGGTCCTTCTGCCTCTATCTCCCAAGTGCTGGCATGACAGGTTTGTGTCAACACACATAAATTTGCTGTTTTCTCTTTTTGAAAAATATTAATACTTTTATTTATTCTTTGAGAATTTCACACATATACATAGCATATTTTGATCATTTTAATACCTTATGCCTCCCAATTTTTTCCAGATTCTAAGCTAATATCTTTTTTATTTGTTTGTTTTTTAAGACAGGGCTTCTCTGTAGCTTTGGAGCCTGTCCTACCTTTGCCTCCTGAGTGCTGGCTGAGATCAAAGGTGTGAGCCACCACTGCCTTTAATCCCAGCACTGCTAATGTCCTCTTTTTAAAATAACCCAATGGGTCCAATTAGTGCAGCCTACAAGCACATGGGTATGCGGCCATCCATGCTAATGTGGTCCGTCTACCAAGGACCCCACACTGACTTCCCCCAACTGACAGCCATCAACTGCCAACGGTGTTATCCTTCTCAAATTTGATTATGTAAATCAAAAATCAAAAGGACCCCTTTGGTTATGTAATTCAGCTTTAAACTATGGAAAGTCATATATCTACATCTACATATTAGATCCAAGAGTGAGAGCATCATAGTTATAAACCAGTCAAATGTGAGCACCTTGAGAGTGTCATTGATCTGCTCCGTTGCCTGAAATCCCGTTTGGGATACATTAGATAATTATACCAGTGACGTTGGTTAGTCCATTTGAACTCACCAATCAATACACATCTGTGCAACTATAGGGAAAAACCACTGTAGGAATATTTGAAAATTTTGCTGTGAGAACTGTTGTCTTGCATGCTAGACATTATCTTGAGTTTGGATGAGCTTCCAAATGAGACAAAGGATCATGGGAGTCTGGGACCTGGATGTCTCTGCAGAAGCGTTCGAAGCATTTTAAGGGTTTCTTTCTGTGAAAGGGAAAGGGTGTGCGAAGGGAGGGGAAGGGAAGGGAAGGGAAGGGAGGGAGGAGAAGGGGAAGGGAGGGAAGGAAGGGAGGGGAAGTGAAGGAGAAAGGAAAGGGAGAGGAAGGGGAAGAGAGGGAAGGGAGGGGAAGGGAAGGAAAGGGAAGGCAGGAGAAGAGGAAGGGAAGGAAGGAAGGGGAAGAGAAGAAAAGGGAAGGAGAAGGTTAGGGAGAGGGAAGGGAGAGGAAGGGAAGGGAAAGTCTGACTTTGATGGCACGGGGAGAGCAGAGTTGTCCTTCCTGCTGTCTGTCAGGCTGCTGCAGCTCAGAGGAACGTCAGTCCAAAAAGCCGCGATAAAACAGCAGGCTCGGACATGTCATGTGCAGCAAAGCAAATGCTTGTGGCTACCTCGGGGTGGTTGTTGGGAAAGTGCCACCTGGCATACCAGGTCTGACCATTTTCCGGATGGTGCTATGAACAGAAACTTCCCACATGAGGAAACATGGGAGACACTAAACTTCTCTTGCCCCCTTTCCCCAGTTCCGTTCTCTGAACAGGGTCTCCGAGTGCCTTTTCTCTCTGATAAATGGAGACGATATGTTTTCCACATTTGCAAAAATGCAGCAGAAAAGCTACCTGGTTTGGCTGTTCAGCCGAATCTACCTCTACTCCTTCATCAGCCTCTTCATATACATGATTCTGAGCCTCTTCATTGCGCTCATCACAGACACGTATGAAACGATTAAGGTGGGTTCGTCAAGAGCCAGGGCGTGCTGTTCTAGAACATGTGTAGCCGTGATACACAGCTTAGGGCTAAGAGGAAGGAGGACTGTGCAGAGAGACGCAGCTCAATTTTAGCAATTGTGGAATGGGAAAAAGGCAAAGGAAAATGGAATTTCTCAAATGCTGAATGTCTTGTTTCTCAGTCTTTATGTTAAAAAAATAAGTTATTTTCTTTTTTAAAGATTCATTGTTAGCTGTACTAAGGATCAAACCCAGGGTCCGGCATATGTCAGGCAAACCCTGTGCCATTGAACTGTATGTTCCAAAGCCTAAAGTATGTTTTAGAATCTTTTGTTAGACTAATAATGGTGAGTAGGTATTGGGTATACAAAATACACTTATGAGAAGGGCAAAATTTTGTGAGGTCACCTGTGGAAGAGGAGAGACACTCACCGCTCAGTTCCCAGCCAGGCTCCGTTCATCTAGATGGACTGGTATTCTGCGGCCTGAAGCCAGTTCCACCCAAGGAGCTTCCTTCACACTGGGAACCATGGGGCTGCCGGGCAGACTGGTGGCGGACACTGTAGCACTTAGGACAAAGCTGGCTGAGTATTTCCCAGGAGAGGGTATGGACAAGGTTCCCAAGCCTCTCCAGGTACAAGTAGACGGGAAGAGGCAGGCACAGATGGACTGACGCTGATTCCCAAGCGGCTGGCTCCGGAGGGGATAGCTCCTAGACACGCCTGGGAGTGACAAAATAGTCCCGAGAAAGACCCCTTCCATTGCCAAATGCTCCATCGTGAGTTTGGAATACAGCTGTGGGAGAGGGCCTTGTTAACGAGGACATTTCCCTTCTCCCATGCAGCACTACCAGCAAAATGGCTTCCCAGAGACAGAGCTTCGCAAATTCATAGCGGACTGCAAAGACCTCCCCAGTTCTGGAAAATACAGATTAGAAGGCGACCCTCCAGCGTCGTTGTTCTGCTGCTGCCATAAGTAACCGTTGGTTTTCTCTGGGCTTGCAGAGGAAAATGTGGTATGTGGTTGAGCCAGAGACAGTATGGATAATTTGCGATAACGCAAGAGTATGTCCAGATACTAGGATTCTGAGCTCACTCCCGACTGTGACATAGCGAGACCTGTTTCCATTTTTAAAAATATTTTAGGTCTTTTCTACTTATATTAGAATTAAAAAAATAGCTAATTTGGCAGGCTGTGGTGGCGCACAGCTTTAATCCCAGCAATTGGGAAGCAGAGGCAGGCAGATCTCTGAGTTCGAGGCCAGCCTGGTCTACATAGTTAGTCAGGACAGCCAGGGCTGTTACACAGGAAAACCCTGACTCAAAACAAAACAAAATAAACAAAACAAAAAACTGATTTGGTGAGGGAAGCTACTGGAGCATTGCTTGTCTTAGTTGCTGTAGCTCTTGCGTGTGTTCCCTGGGCCCCTTTGCTTTACTCTGTGGCTTTTGTATGCACTGGGAAATGAGCTCTGTCTCTCAAGGCGTTTGGATGACCTAGTGTCCCTCTCTGAGAGTTGGGATAATTATAATTATTACACATTTGACACCACAGCATCTTAGAGCTTCCCCTTAAAAGAAGACAGAGCAAGAAAGAGGCCTCCAGCGTAGCTGGCGGTGCAATGCTTGGCTCCTAGAGACAGCTGTTTTATAATACTGCCTTTCAGTATTAAGGCTCAAAGTTGAAGAAAATCTAAACATGAATGAAAGCTAAAGTGAGTACCAAGGGGTATTTGATCAAGCAGTGATGGTTTTCTTAGCAACCAAGCAATGTGGGGGAAACTAATGATATACCATGCCTTCCATAGGTTCAGTAAGTCTCCGCAAGCCATGAACAGTCAGGATCTGTGGCGCTATGACTGCAGTTCTAGAACCCATGCTCAAAAATTTTAAAATGAATATATGTATTTGAAGAGACACTAAATTAGGCTCTATACTTTGTAGTTCGCTGATGGGCAAATATGGGGATTTTTTATGGTATAATACTCATTTTGTGTACTGTTTATCCATGAAGACACTAATTCAATTGTGTATAACAATGACTTTATAAAATAACCTTTAAAAACAATAAAAATTTTAACATTTTAATATTTCACTGGAGACATTATGATAATAGCCCAAGATACTAAAATCTTTTTTTTCCTGTGAGACAGGGTTTTTCTGTGTACCCCTGGCTGTCCTGGAGCTCACTAAGTGGACCAGGCTAAACTTGAACTCACAGAGGTTCACCTGTCTCTGCCTCCCAAGTGCTGGGATTAAAGGTGTGCGCCACCACCGCCTGGCAACACTGACATGTTGAGATCTAATCATAAGCACGACTCCAGATGTTACAATGTGAGGCTTTACAGTGGTATAAGTCACTTTTGAGGTATCTGTGGCTTAAAATTGTGACCACCCCCCCGTACAGTGGTATAAGTCACTTTTGAGGTATCCGTGGCTTAAAATTGTGACCCCCCCTAAGCTTTTAGATGAGTGTGTTAGGGCTTAGCTCTAACACTGGTGTCTTAGTTAGGGTTTCTGTTGCTGTGAAGAGACACCATGATCATGGCAGCTCTTATAAAGTTAACATTTAATTGAGGTTGCCCCTTTACAGTTTCAGAGGTTCAATCCATTATCATCATGACAGGGAGCATGGCGGTGTGCAGGCAGATATGGCGGTGGTGAAATAGTTGTGAGCCCTACATCTTACAAGCAACAGGAAATAGACTGAGACACTGGGTGGTATCCTGAGCATAGGAAACCCCAAAGCCCGCCCTCACAGTGACACATTACCTCCAACAAGGCCACACCTGCTAACAGTGCCACTCCCTATGAGAATACACTCAAACCACCACAACTGCAGCCAATTTATTAAGGTGCAACATGAATTTTAAAACTGTGTTTATTATCTGAGAAGTCCTTATTATTTACTCTTTTTGCAATGTCTTTGGACTAACAATATTTTATTGGAAGTACAAAGCTCCTGAACCAGGTTTGCACACAGAGCAAGCTGGCTATGGACTTGGAGTGTTGGAGAGCGCTGGGTTTAGTTGAGAGACCCTGTCTCAATGAATCAAGTGGAGAGCAATCATGGAAGACTCTTGACATCGACTTCTGGCCTCCATACACTTGTGCACACACATACACACATGTGTGCATGCCATATACATACATATAGCATAAATGGCAAAAATTAAAAATAAATGTTAGAAAAAATTAAAAGTTCTGCATAAAGAATTCCAGGACATTCAGGGATACATAAAGAGATGCTGTTTTAAAACAAATAAAAATTATATATATATTATATATATGATATATTGGACTGGTGTGGTATAGAATTGGATGTGTTTGTTAGCAGAGAGCAAGGGGGCAGGTCCAGTTCTCCTGAATTCAGGCCCTCAGGGTTGGCTCTCCCACACCTATGTCATCAGCGCCAGCTTTACTGTGCTGCCCAGGCGAGGTGCAGGGGCCACTCTCCCGAGTGCTACAGCTGGTGAGGGACAGGGCCTGTTCTTTCTCTTGTGATCTCAGGGCCAGCCCCCCCCCCCCCGCCCCATCATAGGTGGCAGTGGGTGCGGGGAGGGCATCTTTCCTCTGCTCATGCTACCACACAGCGGATGAAAGGAGGGGCGGGATCTCTGACTCTCGTGTTCTCAGGCTGATTCACCTGTACCCTTGTCAATAGGGTCAGCTCTGCTGTTGTCCAGGCAGGATGTAGGGCCCGCTTTCTCCAGAGCTGCAGCTAGGAAAGGAGAGGGTCAGCTCCCTTGCCCACCACAGCAGGCAGGGGCAAGAGGAGGAGGGCATTTTCCTCTCACCCACTCCACCTCATGGAAGATGAGGGGAGTGTGGCCAATCATCCCACTCTCCTACCCCCAAGGTCCCCTCCCAGCGCCTCTGCTAACAGGGTCAGCTCTACTGTACTGCCCAGGTGGTGGTATCAAGAGCTATGGGCATCAACAGAGACCACAGCTGCTTCCGAGTCATGAGCCTAAACATGGCCCCCGGACATTAGGCCCAGACGTCACCATGGTCCTGGATGGCAATTAAGCCCACCCTCCTCAGCCCGCTCCTCACCTCTTTTATCTCTTCAGATAACCTCTGTCCACGAGCCACGATCCCTTCTCTCTCTCCCATAACACACCATCTGTGACCTCACCATAATAGTGCTGGTTTGCCTGCTGCTGCAAGGTGCCCAATTGGAGCCCGGGGCAGACCTCCCTAGGCCTGTGTGTGGGTCTCCTCGTCCTGCTCAATCCTTCTTGGCGCCGGGCAGGACCATGTTTACTCATCACAAAGAGATCCTAACGGTGTTCAACGGATCAGTGCCTCTGGCACCGGGTGGGTTCCTGGTTGGTGCGTAGGTGTTGCTGGAGTCCCCTTGCAGCAGGGGTAGAAACCCTGGACTGTATTTGGTTGAGTCCTGCTCGCCTCAACTTCATGGTGTGGGGCAGAGAGCCATTTCTGGACTTTCTCAGCTCCAGAGCCATGAGGCAGAACAAACTCCTCTCCTTTATGAGTTGCTCGGTTTCGGGCATTCTCTTATGACAACAGGAGCTGGATGAAGCATACGGAAAGCAAGTAATAGAGTGTTAGCGGCGCGTGACTACGTGGAAGCCGTAGTCAAACCGACAAACGGGCCCAGGCTGCAGCAGGGTTGAAGTGAGTACTAGGAGAGGCGTTGGTTGTTCTGTGTTCTGGGGAGAGCTTGGGAAACACAAGACTGAGGACAGCATGGGCTGAAATGGTTGTGGCCAGAATACAGACAGCTGTGGGAAGCAAAGGCCATGCTGATGCGGTTGATAGATAAGAGGATGTCATCCGGGGACAGGCAGTGAAAGCCATCCTGTGATGGGACAGGGCCTGCTGCTGCTGACACAGCAGCAAGGAAAGGGGTTCTGTGAGCTCTTTCTCTACCCTGCGGAGACAACGTGGCCTGTCTGGAAGAAGCCCCACCTAGGCCGCAGGGCTCCTCAGACACTCCCTGACCACTCTTAATCACTTATGGGCTGCGGTAGCTAAGGGATGGCTCACGCTGGGAGTCGTAGTTAAGAGGGAAACCCAGCACTAGAACTGAGGAAATTAGTGGCCTGGCCATGCAAGAGTCCAAAAGCGCAGTCAACAGAGATCGCTAAGCGTGTGGGCCTCCAAGCTGCCAGTTGCGAGGGAGGTCAGGATCAGCACAGATGAGGCAGGTCCTGCCCATCAGAGCAACAGGGAAAGGCCACGAAGAAGTCAGAATCTTTGAGTCTGGGCTGGAGAGATGGCTCAGGGGTTAAGAGCACTGACTGCTCTTCCAGAGGTCCTGAGTTCAATTCCCAGCAACCACGTGGTGGCTCACAACCACCTATAATGAGATCAGGTGCCCTCTTCTGGCCTACAGCAGGATACTGTATAAATAGATAAATAAATAAATAAATATAAATAAAAAGAATCTTTGAGCCTGCTTCTGTCCTCAGAGTCCGGGAACACTAGAGGAGTGGAATGGTCCCAGGAGGACTGCCTGGGGTACCCTTATGCCTTCTGGGATCCCAAGGATTCTGCTTTCCGCATCACACCGTGGTTCTGCTCATCCACAATCAGATTTGACTCAAGTGTATCCAGGTGTGGCTCTGGTCACATCGCCGAAGTCCTCAAGCCATACACCTGGGCAGCGGGCTGTGTCTCAAGTGGACTCCGATGTACCTTCTACCGTTGCTGCAAATGGGCACGAGACGCAAATGCTGGCGGCACCCGCTCCTCAGGGGAGCAGAGTGCAGCTGCTACGAAGGTGTGGAGCCCCCCAGCTAAACATCAAAAGATGCACTGGACTCTCTGGGGGCTGCGCCGGGGGTGGTCCCACTGTGATTTCACAGTGCAGTAAAGGGATCTCTGCACCCCCAGAGTGCAGTCACGTGGATGAAGCCCCCAAAAGATGTGGGAACAGAGCCGCCAGCAGTCTTGAGAGCCTAACCTCTGCACTATGCATGGATGGTTCTAGATTTGTAATTTGTAATGTCTGTTTTATCAGGTGCCACCCGTTTTCCCCATCCCATGGCCACTTCTCTCTTCAGGAATGGAAGTGTCTACCCTAAGCCTCTTCTGCTTTACACCTCACGGGTCATGGCTTGTCCTGATTTCTTAGCCTCACACTTGACAGGAGTTTGCCTGAGCCTCAGACAACACAAGGGACTCTGGAGATGACTCTGGAACTAGCTGAGACTTGGAGATTATTGGGATGAAATAATTATATCTTTC